TCCGCCCATCAGACGAAACGGCCCTCGCTGCCACGCCCATCCGGCTTCGTGTCTCCATCCACCTCTTCGTCAATGCAGGCCGTGTGTGTGATGTTTGCGCCCCTTCCCTTTGCTGATTCGAGCGAATCCGAAGAGGACGAGACGCCCCTCCTCACCACCTCCCTCCTCCTCACTGCGGTGGGTTGTGGTCTGAGCACAGCTGGATATCCCTGCGTGTCTCATGTGCCCCGTATATTGTCGTGCCAGTTGCTGACGTTTGGCGTGTGCTGTCTCAAGAGCGGGTCGCAGCCATGTGTGTACTTGGGTGCCGTGCCGGTGGCTGACTCAGGTGTGATGCAGGCTCTTGATGAGGTGGAGAGACATCTCAAAGCCATTCCGTGGACAAAGGTATCATGAACAAGACATGGTTGTTTGTTTGCGGGATGGGGTTGTGAGCCGTGGGCTGTGGGTTTGTTGGCTGCGCAGTGCTGTGGGCGTGGGCACGCTTGGTGATGAATCGTGTGTCGGGTGAAATGAATGGCACAATATGTTGATGGGATGGCTGTGGTGCAGTGCACTCACATGGGGCGGCATGACGTTAGTTCGGCGTATGGGTGTAATGACATTACAGCTCAGCTGCCATGGGTAGAACACACATTCACATTAAAAAACATCCACCGGTCCGCCAGTCTGGTGACATGCCTGTGAGTGAGTGAGTGAGCAGAGACACCAGAGAGAGAGATGCAGACATGAAGGCCTCTGTGCTGTGTGCTGTGTGTTAACTGCGCACCAGGACAGCTAGATGGAGCCGCTCGGTTGATCAGCGCAGTGGGTGGACAATTGCGCACCAGGACAGCTAGATGGAGCCGCTCCGTTGATCAGCGCAGTGGGTGGACAATTGACATCATGCCTGTGAGTGAGTGAGTGAGCAGAGACACTAGAGAGAGAGATGCAGACATGAAGGCCTCTGTGCTGTGTGCTGTGTGTTAACTGCGCACCAGGACAGCTAGATGGAGCCGCTCGGTTGATCAGCGCAGTGGGTGGACAATTGGCGTCATGCCTGTGAGTGAGTGAGCAGAGACACCAGAGAGAGAGATGCAGACATGAAGGCCTCTGTGCTGTGTGCTGTGTGTTAACTGCGCACCAGGACAGCTAAATGGAGCCGCTCGGTTGATCAGCGCAGTGGGTGGACAATTGGCGTCATGCCTGTGAGTGAGTGAGTGAGCAGAGACACCAGAGAGAGAGATGCAGACATGAAGGCCTCTGTGCTGTGTGCTGTGTATTAACTGCGCACCAGGACAGCTAGATGGAGCCGCTTGGTTGATCAGCGCAGTGGGTGGACAATTGGCGTCATGCCTGTGAGTGAGTGAGTGAGCAGAGAGACAGAGCAAGCCCTTCCCTCCAATGCTCCATCCACCCCCCCTCCCTCCATCCTCATCACTTGTCTGTCCACCGCCCCTCCCTCCACTGCTCCTTGTCTCTCTCGCTACTCCATCCCTTCCTCCTTATCGTATCTCTCTCTCTGTCTGTCCACCGCTCACCACCGCACTCACTCGACTGGCTGCGATGCGATGTATCCCTTTCTGTCTGCAGCCGTCTGCTCTCTCGGCAACCAACCGACCAACCGACCAACCGACCAGCCAACCAACCAACCAACCAACCAACCAGCTACGAATGCGATTCAGCTATCTATGTGTCTGTCTGTTGGTCTGTCTGCGGCCCATCCACCCCGACAACCCCACCACTGACGGACGGCCTCTGCTCACGGTCCACCACCGACTACGACCCCTTGCTTGCGACAGAAGGCTATGCTATCTATCTCCTTCTTCCCGCCACCGCCACCCTCCTCCGCTGCCTCGATCGCCGCCTGTCCGCCTCCTGAGCCGTGACGCCGACGTAGGACCCCATCTCTCCCAGCAGCCGCTTCTCCATCAGCCGCGGGCATTTCCTCACTCCGGCGTCCCTCTCCTCGGGCGGCAGCAGGTTGTCCATCATCTCCACAGCCTCCCTCTGACGCTTCCTGTTGCCCGCCGCCTCCTGTGCAGTCAGCTTGGCGTAGTTCATGTCTCTCATAGTGTGGTCGATCTGCTGCTGCATAGCTGCGATGCGCTTCGAAGCCCGCACAGGGGCGGC